GTTTTCCGCAACTCAGAACGGGTACTCGTTGAGAGGTGCGTTTTTCGCAATCCGTTGCGAAAAAAAATAAGTGGCAAATTTTCAAGCTCGCGCGAGAATTACCCACACAGAAAACCGATCATGGGCTGAACCGGAACGTGATAAAAGATGCAACGAGAGCAAATAGAAAAAGAAGCATGATTATCTCAAACAGTCTTCCCGCAGCATGACTCTTCGGATCGAGTATTGATCGGGGTGCACTGCGAAAATCGCAACGGAGTGTGAAAAACGCACCTCGCAACGGTTACCCGTTCTGAGTCGCGGAAAACGCACCTCAGAACGGGTACCCGCATTTAGTATGAATGCGCCCACTCTGGCGAGCGAACACTGTCGAGGAGTGCGCGACGGGCAACGACTGCTTCGCCGTCTGATTCTCTTAGAATTCTCGAGGATTCTCGGAAGAAATTCTGATTGACTACAGCCCTGTAGCCTGGTTAGAGGACCGTTGTCAGCCGCTGATGGGGCGACTCATTGCTAGCGTTTGGCTGCTTTCATAGTCCACGATTTGGCTCGCGAGCGACCGACCGACCGACCGAGCGAGCGACCGAGGGCGGCGCTTGCCCCTTATTTACAACTAAATCTTGGTCGGTACCGGAGGACGAGTAGTACCCCGGTTGCTGGCTAGTGGGCCAAATCGTGGATTGTAAAAGCAGCCTTTTTGCTGTTTTCTCTGCGTCTCCTTCCATAGCATTTCATCTTTGGGGGGATAACGCGCAGACGGAAGAGCTTGCCATTCCTCAATGCGGATTACGTGACTACTGGAACTTTCTTTGCGTCCCCAACGACAGAAGGCTAGAGCGCAGAGAAAAATACCCTGAGTGGCGGATAAAGAGGCTGGTAGTTGGAATCCCATTGACCAGACAAGCACAGCAGTTAAAGACTGGATTGTACGGGAATGTGAAGGACGAGGGCGGAAAAATAGCCGCGGTCGCCACAATTGCAGGACGGGTTTAAGTAGTTCGTAGACCGCATTGTGGAGTACTATAGTACATTGCGCAACATGGGTTTATATTGAACCAGTTGGGTTGCGCACGTTAACGCGTGCGTTATATGTCGACAACCGCTCGTGTATGGAGTCATTCAGCGGAATGTTTTATTAACAGAACAAGATAGTTTTTCCTAGATTCGAATGCTGAACTGCTGAGAGCATCACGCTTGATATGTTTCACTTGAGTAGAATTATTGGTGGTTGATCATGGCTCCGTCCGACTCCGTGCAGACCAATATTGACCACAGTTTCCACCAATATTGACCGCCCTTCTTTTAATTGCTCCTAATCATTTTCTCCGCATTCTAGAAAGTTTTTGAAGGGATGAATTTTCGGTCCTGGCGCCGCTTTCCTGTGCCAGCTCCGCCCACTTTGAGAGTTTGGCCACGTTTGTTCATTTATCTTTTACCACTTTTCCCACGTTCTAGAACGTTTCTGAACAGAGTTATTGAATTTTGATCTGAGCCCCGCCTACTTTGGTGCGAGCCCCGCCCGCTTCAGGAATCTGACCACATTCGTTCCTTTACCTCTGACCACTTTTTTCCCGCATTCTAAAACCTTTCCGAACGAAGTTATACTCAATTTTGAGAGGTAGGTTTTCCCTCAACGCACGGCCGCCCATTGTGGGCAGGGCTCCGCTACGCTTACGCATGCCCAGCACGCTTAAGGCCTTGCTCCCTCTTTTTATTTTTTTGCTGGCCCCGACGCCTTCCTTGAATCAGGTTATGAATCTCTGTGGGAAGTACCGCCCACTGCGAGAATGCTTCGCCCACTGCCAGTAAGTTTCCTTTATTTTAGTTGTTGACCCATCCCTCACTTTGCACATATTTCCTGGTGTCTGGACTATTATGAGACCGAATGAGAAGAATTAGCCCACGACCCAATTCCTGCGCATGCCCCGCCCCTTGGGGCGGAGCTCCGCTGGCCTCACATGTGCTCTGTTGCACTTACCAAGTTGGGATGAGTAGAGCATGGGAGAAGTTCAACAGAGCACATATGAGCTCACAAGAATCCCACCCACAGGGAGAGGAACATGCATCGGTAAGGTCGGCGCGATAGTAAACAACCATGATTTCGTTTCAGCAAAACCCGAGGCCGTCAAAAATGAGCATAGGTTGGGATTGCGCGAACAAATCAAACAAGAGAAGCCCACCCGCGGTGGGATGAACGGTCTTGAAGTGGGTGCTTCTTTTTATATAAACTTGGGGCCCATCATAGTCTATGACCCGATTCCTAATTAGGAGTTGGAGTCAGAATAAAAAAATACGTGTCTTTCAGGTGCGTTCTGTTTTGAGACCCATGCATCAGTGTACCCATGCATTAGTGTACTCTAGCACTAGTATACTATGTATAAGTCACCCTCCAACGTGTACTATGGGGAAGCCACTTCACAATGTTGTCCCTATCGCTACGAATATCGACCTTACGTTCTTGAACCATTCACTCTGTGAAAAAGCCTTTGTCGCAGTCAAATGAGTGATAAACTGGGAAGTATTTTATGATAGAAATCTACTTTCCTCTCTGTAGCAACAAAGCAAACTCAGATGTGCTGAACGAAGGATTCCAGGAAGGCATAAATTCGAACTGGTAGATGAACATGCGGCCAAAAAAATGAGAGTTTACGAAATTGCCATTTTGATCCATCTCGTCTGCTGTTTCTTCAGAATTATTAGTAAGAAAGTCGTGAAGCTCTCGATTGGGTGTTTCTATGCATATCATCTCATTGAGGGCTAGAGAATTCGAAGAAAATGAAAATCCCCAGTGATACAAGCCTGCATAACTTTTCCAAATTACCAGACAGTAGAGCAAAAAAAACACAAAAAAATAAAAAATCAAGTATCTCGGGTTCGTGCTACTTTATCACAAACCGGTCGAATATGGTAGCCTTTGTACTGAGGGGAGTCGAAGAGATCTCTAACGCCATGATCGGGGCGAACTTCTTACTTTGTCTCATCCTCAAACCCACGATTCTACACCCTTCTCTCAAAGCCGTTACCTACCCTTCATCGTAACAGGCCTCTGGATCCAAGTTTACTTATCGGGAAGCGTTAGCAAAACCTCGTCAGGAAATATTGAACGTATCTTATTCCATATATCCTTTCGGCCGGCACTGCAATTTGATTTGACTTCGGTGTCCCAATAAACATTCAAAAGTATTCACATCATCCTAACGGCAGATCTGAGGCGTTGTTTTCCACCTGTAGGTGGCAAAAATCCGCGCCGCCACGCGGTATTCTGAATGGTTGCTGCGCTTTTTCTCGAGTAACATCAAAGTCGAAAAGCTTTTCAAAACAGACTCTAATGTTCGGCACACCCTCTGAGTCGCAGCTTTCAGAACATCTATTCGTTCTTTGAGTTTTCGATTTCAACAGCATTACAAAGCAAAGAATAAAGCTAAAAAAGAAAGTAATATTACACGTACCTTCCATCTGACCGTTGCATCTTGGAATACTGGGTTGCTTCGCGCAAGTTGTTGTTTCAGGTCGAGCAATCTGAATCGCAATATGATTTTGTATTTATCGAAGGCTTTGCTCATTAAATGCCTCGATACCGGTCGGTTCTCTCCGCTCACGCCGAGCCTCCCTCTTTCTTCGACAAAGTTGTAGTAATCGGCCAATTCTGTCCTTCTTCTTTGAATTAAATAATATTTTTCTGTCCAAGGGGTTTGACACAGAACCAACAGGGTAGTGCAAATTGTTATAAGGGTAAGTGCTTACGCTCTAACTGAAGGTTTCGATCTTTTGCTCTCGTTCTTAAAGTAAATGCTCATCAAAGATTGAACTGTTAGGAGAACAAAGCCTTGGGCGATACTCACCGATACTCACAAATGTTTCGAGTGATGATAACACCATTATCAGATGTCGCTATCAATGGACCTTCTCTTTACGGAGATACCATTAGTCGGGAATTCCAGATTACTGGCGGTCGGTCAAGTTTTTCGCAAATGATATCGAACATAGAACATCTTTGAGCGAGTCACAAACCTTTCTGGGTATCGGTCGTAATCCAATAGCAAGAAATGCACAAAATTCTCATCTGCCTATCGTATTGCCACTAATGGGCCCCTATCACTGCACTTATCACCTACTTTTGTCACCCTACTCTAGCATCCCGTCTTATCGAATGAAACGTACTGAACGGTAAAAGCTACATCGAGAATACCGAAGACATGGATTTTGATCGGAGGCGGCCTCTCGTAGCCCCTTATCTTCTCTTATCTGTTATTATCAGTTCCTATCACCGTGTACCTACGATCTCTTCATGTCCTACATCAATTTTTAAAGTGCTGATGTTCCACTGTTAATACTAAAAGTGTAGTCCAGCCGAATTTTAGCTCCACGTAAACAGGAGTTATGAACGCCGCGCCCTATGCGAACGGAATCCGGTCCTGCCACGCACCATAAGTGTTCCCGTTCTGCCCCTGTACTCCTACCAAGTTTGACGAGTCCAGGTTCTCGGGAACAGAAGTTATGAATTTGCAGCCAAAAACTTCTATCGCGCACGCCTCACCTCCTATGAACGGAGTCCGATCCTGCCACCCACCATAAGTGTTCCCGTTCTGCCCTGTAGTCCTATCAAGTTTGAATGCTCCAGGTCCACGTGGACAGGAGTTGTGAATTTCCGGCCAGACTCACACCGACACACACACACACACGCAAGCACACACACAAACACACCGACACACCAACAGACACACTAAGCGAATTATATAAAGTAGGATATTAGATGAGACTATCGACTGTCGGAAAACTTTTGCGAAGAATAATATCGAAGCAAAGAGAAGCGTAGTCCTTCATCGATTCACCAACTCTGCTGGAGGGCGTTCATGATCTAATAGCAAGAAATGGAACGATTTCCATCTCCTTATGATTTAGTACCCTTAATCGATCCCTATCTCTGCACTACCCTTCTTGTCGAATGGAACATATCACAGAGACAAAGCTAGATCATAATAACGAAGGCGTTAGGACTTAATTGGTGAGTGGTTGTTGATCTCTAAGGCTTCTTGTATCGTCAAGGTTCCTATCCTGCCTCCTTTACTCCTACCAATTTTGAATTTTCCAAGTGCACGGGAATAGGAGTGATGAAACTCCGCTCAGGGATTTATTTTACGCAAGCCCTTCCCCCTGTAGGCGGAGTTCGGTCCTTCCACCTACCAGAAGGTTCCCATCATGCCGCCTGTGCTTCTACTGAATTTGAACGCTCTAGGTACATGAGAAGAGGAGTTATGAATTTCCGATTAGACACACACCCACTTACATACATACACATACACACACATAAACACACAAGCATACAGGCATTGGCGCATTATATATAGTAGAATAGTGCAGTACTACCAAAGTCGGCGTAACACGGCAACTTAAGTGTCTACGTCGGCCACACCGATATGGAGCCCTTATAGTGACCTGTCTAGGCCGTTTTTTGGCCCGACAGCGTCCCACAAACTATACCTGGAGGCCACAGATCCATCCTAGGAGGGAATATCAAAAACCATTTTTATCGTGAACTGAGCCTTTAAGGGATAAAAATTTCCGGTAAACGACTGGAACGGAATGGGATTGCAGCAGAATTCATTGGCCATACCGATACATACATTTTACTTTTACTCAACAATATTACCTGTTCACATTCGACAGTGATCGATCCAAGTACATTATAGTAAGTCTTTGTTCGACGGATAGCGGTGACACGATAGCCGCGATCACAATCCATAGCCTGAAATGAGGGAACGACTATGTTTGTTCCTGTCTCTTATTATAAAAAAAAAGCTTTCACTTCACTAACCTCTTCCTGAACAGAGACTATTTGGAAAGTGTGAATGATTACCTTATTACAGTGACTTGATGATGACCACATGTCACTCACGGGCCACAAATAAGAATTGTAATTTCATTATTGATTTTGTTTGCAAATAAGTGTCAAGAAATTTATCAGAGGATCATACTATTATCTCAATGAACTGCAAGGTTCGTTCTAACATGGATATATAGGTCTCACTATTAAGAAAACTTTCCTGCTTTCTTTCTGACCCCGAAGCCGATTTACTTATAGTCTAGTAAAGTCGAAATCTTTGCTCGAACTATGCTCGAAATTGATTTGTCAGGAGCCTTCCTTCACTTGCGCTGGCGGAATGGTGCAACTAGCGAATTTTCTAGCATTTGTTACAGCTCCATTTCAAAGCAGAGTATGCGTGTAAAAGTTCGCTTCAAAGCATTCTGATTGAGTGACCGAACTCTTTTCGTTAGCTTGGAACGAAAGATTTAAACCACAACGACTAGCGTGACCACTTCGTAGGATCTGGAAACACTGATTGTCTTTGATCTCCTGACGATGCCGAGGACAGCAAAGCTCATTTCGAGAAGGAGTATCGTCACTATTTGTCGGCTACTTATGCTAGGATGATTCCGTAAAAGAAGTTTATTTCAAATTCTGTCATTTTCCTGATGAGCATCAAATCTATAGAGCCATCGTGGGATAACCATTAACCATCGTCTTTTATCTTCCAGAAGACAAGAAAACCATCGCACTTCTATGTATTGATAATAAATCATCTAGTGTCAGTTGTTGAATTCGAGTAATTGCAGGGAGTCGTGAATACTCAATTTTGCCTTTCTTGGCACCCTAGCATTACTGTTTTTTATTCACGAAAAGGAAAATGGACAAGTTGGATAAGCTTTTCATTATGCAGCGTCCGCGCTGCAACCTTATGATTTTAATTCATTGTGCTTGGTCGCCACTATAGCCGTAAGGTGCTCATTAAAAATTCCTCGTTGTGATTTCCATTCATTAGATGATCAGAAGTGATGACATATCCTTCGTGTCCGCTAGTATCGCACCAGGAAAAGAATTATAGTTGAAAGTTTGCTCATTTCTCTAATGAGTTTCAAGTCTAAAGAACGGTAAAGAGCTCCCAGTTGATCAAGAAGCGCAGTAAGTCGATCAAGATGGGATAGAGGAGACGTTCGCGGGCTGAAGACTCCCAAAAATAAAAGAATATGATATGTGATACAAGACGGTCCTTCGCTTCAGCTCCGGAGATGCAGCGCCTTCTCACTTTGTATGCACTGCTATCGCAGATTTGTTTACTTCATATTTCTTACTTGCTTATTTGTCTTTGTTATTGAATGCCTCAATCTCTAATGACTTTTAGGCAATCTGACTCGTGTTTTGTTGTCATTGAAATAGCTAATGGGATATTAAATAGCGCCCGAATCTTCACCGGCGTAGCTTGTTCTCAGTAGTTGTTCTCAAACGGGTCCTCATAGTTCGTAATCACCTCGGACTTCTATGTAAAGGGTGGGCCAAAGTTAGATTACACAGACATCATATCGCCCAAAGCGAAAAGGATGCTAATAAAGCGAACCAATTCCAAGAAAGTTTTCATCGCAAACCTCATATCAAAATGGTACATTTAAACTGGGACCTGTTGCTTTTTGCTTTTACCCAACCCCAGGAACGATGACGGACGGCACTGATGGTGGCACGCAGCTAAGGTCATCGAGCTGTTCCCGGCTCTTTTGCAAGGCTCTTCGGACATTATTTCACTCCTTGTTTGGGTAATGGATGTTTTTATCTCAAAGACTGACCACACTGAGACATCCATGGGATTTAGGTCAGGGCTCAAGAGTAGTCACTGATCGAAGGTAGGGAGATCGGGGAACCCCTTTTAAGAAACTTCTAGACAATCTCTGATCTGCAGACAGAAGCTTCCTTCTGATAATATGTCCGGTTTGAATCGACAAAGTGTCCTATTGCGCAAGAAGAGATCGAAAGACCACCGAATCAACTTTCACTCCTTAATTTACAAAAATAACCAGTGTTTTTGCCTCGGCAGTGACGTTCGCAAAGGCCAGAAAGTCAGTGAGCCTAGAGCTTCCCCTTTTTTAAGTTTCATAAAAATTTTGTCGCCCTGCTTATTGAGCACCTTTTTCACCGTGAATATCTTTTCGTCGGTAGACGAAATCGGTACGGCCATTTTTTCGGATGCGGCGGAGCAGCTTTTGTGAGCCAACTTTTCTCTTCTATTCAGCCTGCTCACTGAGGAAATCACTTTGTGACCGTATAAAGGCATTGTTGCGCAGATGATGATTCACAAATTCGCGCAGAAAACTTCGTGAGAACTTCTAAACGGGATCGGGCCATCGTACGGGCAGAACGATGGCCCGATCCCGTTTAGAACTTCGGAACAATAGCGATGTCAGTCAGGCAAATGCTTCGGTTGAAGATGATGTGGTCTACTTCATTATGGAACTGTCCACCATGTGACTCCCAGGTCTATTGCAAACGAGACGGCTTCTGGAAACCGAGTTGTCATGAATGATTTGGGACGACATAATAAGCTTGCACAGCCTTTCACCCTACTCATCCCCTTCCAATCCTGATGTGGAGCTCTTCAGCCGTTCTTCCGGAGACAAATCACCGACGATGACCTCGTAGAATGTATAGTCTTCTTGTACCATCCTTACTAATCCACATAAACGCTTTCAACTCCTATTCTTCGTGACTTGGCCTTGGTGCGTAGTCGAAATGAGTTCGGATTTTTTCTAGAAATGATCTACTTGATTTCCTCTACAAGAATATACTCAAAAAACCATCCGCATATTCGTGGAATTAGGCTTTACTACTTCGAGAAAGTTTGGAAGGTGGCACAGTCATTCCGCAATCTCAGTAACTTTTCGGCGATCGTTCATTAGGTGATCTGGTGAAAGTACACATGACGGTGAAAATGTAGTTGGGGGGTGCCAGCGCCCTTTTGTGCTCTGCGTCCCTGACACAGGCGGCAGAGTGCATACAGGTCGCAGAGATGGATTCCTCCC